CAGGAGGATTAGGAGTTGTAGCCACATTGAAATGTAAAATATGTAATGCTGTGCTACACACGGAGATGAGTTTTAAAACCTTCCTGGTGTGTACACTTCTGGTACTTACTAAATTGCAGTTATCATTGGAAATTTTGTTTTAAGAAAGCTAAAGACAATTATGAATTTATTAGATAGTTATCCGGTATTATTGATCTATTATTCTTTTTATTATTTATACTATGGGCCTATTTTTTTCTTTTTTATTGAGGGATATTATACAAATAGTGAAACATTTAAGTCTTTCATGTGGAGTGCAAAGACTTTCTCTCTGTGTGTACTTGTGTTCTCACTGTCCACATCAAGATGCAGAATGTGTCTAAGGCATGCCACCTCTCTCGGTGGAGTCGATGCAGATCGAGCACGCCTTATCTGAAATGCCTGGGCCCATAAGAGTTTCGGATTTTGGAGCTTTCTGGAGTTAGGAATATTTGCATAGAATTTATGATTTGGCATCCCTAATTGGAAAATCTGAAATCTAAAATGATCCCAAATTCAAAAGTTTTTGAGCCAACACTCAAATTTTAAGATTTCAGATCATCAGATTACAGATGTTTCACCTGTACCCTTACCCAAAATAACCACCTCTTGATATGTATCACCGTACATTAATTTTGCCTGTTCTTAGACTTCAGATAGATGCATTATGTTTTCTTTTATGCTTGTTTTCCTTTCAGTCAAATATTATGTCTATGAGATTTGTAATTTAGAACCATTTGTAATTTAGGCATTTACTTTATGGCTCAATTTTTAATTTTGGATACTTATTAAAGTGAAATATTTTTCTGGGATGAGCAGAGTAATTATGATAGATATCCCGATCCTCAGGTATGTACAAGAGCTGTAACAACTGTTAGAATCACTACCATAAATTTTGAACTCCAAGTCCAGCACCAAAAAACAAGTATAGTGTTAATAATAAGGGTCTTTAAAACATAAACATTCATTGTCTGTTGTACTGACAATCTAAGAGAATGAGCTCTTCTTTGTGTAAATTAACAAAATCTTAATATTCATAGTTACTAGTTGGAGGTTGTAAATTGCCATTCTTGCAGTCATGCTGAGAATCAAATTGCATTTGTGGGCCGGCAACACCCTTGTTCTGCCATCCCACTGGTATGATAATTAGAGATTCCTGCTAGGTTTGGCCTGTATAAAAAAGTAGCACAGGTGGGAAAATTTACATACATGTCTTCCATAACAAACTGTTATAGTTTTCAGAAGGTTAATTTTTGTATTTCATGCAGATTGCTCATAATCAACAGTGTGATTACTTTTCTGTCAATTTTAGATGTATGTATATCACTTCTGCAATAAGATGGCCATGTCAAGAAGAGGTATGACAATTTATGAACATTAAATTAAGTTTTTCTGGCTTTATGTCATTCCCATATGAAAAAATGAAAAGGAAACTGTTTCTCTGGAAAAGACTCTTTAAACTGTCTGTTCCTTCTGGGATGTCCCCAGGAGTATAGTTTAGTTTCTTTTCTGCACACTTTTTAAGTCTTCCTTTCATTGGATCATACATTAGGAACATAAATTAATGTAGTTACAATGTACATAAAATAGTTTCCACATACTGACATACTGCCAAATGTTTTAGGATCCTTTTTTTGTGGGGCTGGGGATAGAATCCAGGACTGCTCACATGCTGGGAAAGCACTCTGCAGTTGTATCCTCAGCCCTTAGAGTCTTTTATAGATACTAATTAATTGTGAGTTGCTGCTATGGTTTGAATTGTGTCTAGAAATTTATATGTTGAAAGTTTAACTCCCCATTGATCCTATTTGGAGATGGGACTTCAGGATAAGCTGAAGTCATGAGGGTCAGAATCTCATGATGGGATTGTGGGTCTTAGAAGAAGAGACACCAGAAGGCCTGCTCACTCTCTCTCTCTCTGGTGGGCTCGCTGTCTCTTCATACCATTTGAGGACACAGAGAGAAGATGGCAGTCTGCAAGTCAGAGGAGAACTCTCACCAGTCCAAAACCACGCTGGTACCCTGACTTTGGACTACCAGGCTTTAGATCTGTGACAAAATAAATTTGTGTTGTTCAAACCACTAATTCTATGGTATAGACTGATTATCACTTATCCAAAATGCTTGGGACCATGCATGGTATTTCAGATTTTATCTCTCTCTCTCTCTCTCTCTCTCTCTCTCTCTATATATATATATATATAGAGAGAGAGAGAGAGAGAGAGAGAGAGATTATATATATGTATTTTTTATATATATGTATTTCAGATTTATATATATATATATATATATATATATACACACACACACACACACACACACACACATATTTAGGATTTTGCATACACTTGGTTAAACATCAGTAATCCAAATATCTGAAATCAAAATTTTTGAAATCAAAAATTCTCCAAAATCTAAAACTTTTGAGCTTCATAGATTTAGGATTTGGAGCATTTTAGATTTTGAATTTTAAATTATAGTTACTCAACCTGTATTTTGTTAGAGATGACTAATATAGTTTCTATTCAAATTCAGAATTAAATAGTTTAGGTTACATTCTTAATATAAATCTTGCCAAAATTGGCTAATTCTGATGATGTGGATTCCTCTTTGATGTACCTCAAAGATATAATTTATATATATTTCATAAATGTTTATGTTGTAAAATAAAAAACGTATGCAATTTATATGTTGTATCTATCATATTGATTACGTACTATGTCCGGACATCCTGCTTCATGTGTTCATATGAGCCCCATCACTGGCTAGCTGTGGACTCTGGACAGATCACTCCTCTACTCTAAGTATCAATGCTCCTGCATCTGAGTTGTGGATGAGATCCACTTCATAGTGAGGATTGAGAATCCCATGAGGCATGCTGCACATATGTGCACTCTAAAGGACCGACATCCATTTGTCCTTGTCTTCCTAGCACAGTGGGTCACATAGACTCTTGTGAGTATATTTTCAACTAGAGATATACACTATATTTTAAAACTTTGTTTTAATAAACATAAACATTGTGCTATCTCTACAGTGCTAAATTAAATATATATTATTGTTAATTTTACATTAAAAATATGAAAAGCATGCCAGTTCCTAGAAGGTGTAGTAGTAGAAAGAGGAAAATTTAAAATGAATGCAAGCTAGAAGTATTCCTCTACACCTTTCCCATTTTCATTGAATAAGTGAAAAAGCAGCTTCCCTTTCCTCTGATACAAGCTGGTAACAAGTGGTAAGTAGTTTATCTAGAAAGAAAGAAGAGCAGAGGAAATCTACTAACTAAAATCTGAATGACTAAAATCACACCTGTGTTCACCACTGCCAAAATCTTTATGGATAGCTTTGTTCTTAAATTTTCCTCTTTCTACTACTCCATATTCTTTCCTGAGACCCAGAATTATGGACAATTTCCAGTAACAAACTCAGCTTTCCCCCAGTGGGGCTCACCATATTTTGTCAGCAGACCCTCCCTTCTATAACTTTCTTCCCCTGCCTTGTTGCCCACCTCAGTGAACGTCAGCTGTAGAGATTAGCTTTGACCTCTCTGATCCTTCTATCATTAGTACATGTGCAGTAAGTATCAGAAACATAGGGACTTCCTCTGGGCAGGCAACATAGAAAGGGAGCATGGTCCTTCTGATGCCTATTCTGAAAGGAAAGCACACAGATTATGGAGTAGACAGACCACTCCTGAGGCCTCAAGCACTGTCTGGCTTAGGGATGTGGTAGCTGTTGCAACATAAACAAAAGTTAATTTGGGCTGGGGTTGTAGCTCAGTGACAGAGCGGTTCCCTAGCCACATGAGGCACTGGGTTCAATCCTCAGCACCACATAAAAATAAATAAATAAAATAAATTTATTGTGTCCATCTACAACTAAAAAAAAATTTTAAAAATTAATTTGAAAAATACTGGACCAAATAATGATGTAGTTTTTCCTAAAATAGAGGAATTGATGAGTAAAATGAAAAGTTTTGGTTTCAGTACTGCTTTATCATAAGCATTATCATGATTTTGCCAGAGCTGAAAGGTCAAATTCTTTCAGGCAACCTGCCTGGAAGTTTTGGTATTCCAAGAATGATTCAATGCTTTTGAAGCAACAGATACATAATAAAATAATGCAATTCCTGAGGAGGAACAAGTAACTCACACTGAACTTATAGATGAATGGTGGAATGGCTGATTTTGGAGAAGTTTGTTTTGTGGAGAGGTTGGGACAAGGTAGGAAATGGCATTTGCAGAAGCTGAAAATTTGATCTTTGTGGCTAGAAATTAACTTAAGTCTTACTAGTTAAAATTTATGCTGCCTCAATTTTCTTGACAGAAGAATTCAGTTTTAAATCTCCAAGGTGGAAACACTGAGGAATATCAAAAGGTCTTCAACAAAGATAACTGGCCTTGTGTAATGTGCAGGCTGTGTTGGTAAAAGCCAAATGTATATTCAAAATGAGGACAACCTATTAATTTAAAGTTGATTGGAACAGCTTCATGTAAAAATGAGGGTAAATCAAGAAAATTAAATAAACATTCTAATGGGAAATGTGTAATGTGTAATGTGTAATGGAATACAGCTGCACAAATATTGTTACAGATAAAACTTGCATTAATGACTACTCAGTGAATTGTGTTTTTATTGCTTCACACTATTACAGTTTCTCAAATAAAAAAATAAATAAACAAGTGTTTTTTTTTTTTAACTTTATGGAAAAAAGCTCTGTGTTGGCCAAGTTGTTGCATTTTTAGGGTGAATTCTAGTTTTATTCAAGCTCATAACCATCAGGACATGTTTTTTTTTCTTTTAGCTGTCACAGGACATTCCCCCCCCCCCTTTTCACATTTTTCATTGGTGCATTATATATAATGATGGGATTTGTTGTTACATATTCATATATGCACATAATACAACAATATAATTTTCCCCAATTTCACTCCCCAGCACTTCCCTCCTTCTTCCCCACCTCCCACCCCCCACCCCCTGGTCCCTTTGTTAAGGAAAAATATGGAATATGGCATTGAAAAGAAACAAGCAGCACTTTGAGACGTAGAAGAGCAAACTTATTCAGAGGAATCCTCTCCAAAAGCTGAGCACTGCCTTCTGTTCTCAGGACTTTTATACAGTACAGACTCCTGGGTTTCAAGACTTTCTCATGCAAGTCTCCAGGCAGTTCTGCTTCCTGTGATAGCTGCTGAGCAAGCCTGATTACAGGAGCAGAAATGAGCAGGTTGCAGCTATTAACAAAGATAAAATGAAACATCTTCTGAAGGAGTCGCAGCTTCACCTTTCCTCTGCTGATCCCCCTTTGATTTTTATGAGATTCTTCCACTCCCACTTTTCTTTTCCTTTTTCCTCTAGCTTCTGCATATGAGAGAAAACATATGATCTTTGATCTTCTGAGTTTGAACTGTTTTGCTTAACATATTGGTCTCTAGTTCCATCCATTTTCCTTCAAGTGACATAATTTTATTTTTTTTTCTTTATGGCTGAATAAAACACCATTGGCTATGTAAACCACATTTTCTTTTTCCATTCATCCACTAATAGACACCTAGGCTCTTTCCATAGTTTACATATTTACACGGTTATTTTGAATTGTGCTGCTATAAACATGTATTTGAACTTATCACTATAGTATGGTAACTGTAATTCTTCAGGAAAAATAATGGGAAGTGGTATAGTTGGGTCATATGGTGGTTCCATGCTTAGTCTTTTGAGGGACGTCCATACTTATTTCCATAGTGGTTGCACTAGTTTACAGTCTCTTCAAAAGGAACAGTGTGAAAATATTCCTTTTTCTCCACATTCTCTTTTTCATTCATTATTATTTGTATTCTTGATGACTGCCATTTTTTGCTGGTGGAAGATGAAATTTTAGTGTAGTTTTGATTTGCATTTCCCCAGTTGCTAATAATGTTGAACATTTTTTCATATAACTGTTGGCCATTTGTATTTCTTATTTTGAGAAATGTATGTTTAATTCACTTCCCTATTTATTAATTGGGTTATTTGATTTTTGGGTGTAAAATTTTTTGAGTTCTCTATATATTCTAGATATTGATCTTCTGTCAGAAGAGTAGCTAGCAAAGATTTTCCTCCTATTCTGTAGGTTCTGGAGTGTTGATCCTCTGTCTCCTTCTAGGAGTTGCCTAGTTTGTGGTCTAATTCCTAGGTTTTTGATACATTTTGAGTTGATGTTTATGATGTTTATAAATAAAAAGTTTTCCCAGTACCTTTCATTAAGAAGGCAAGACATGCTTTTTGTATGACTTTATTAGGTACCAGAAATACCATCCCCAGGAAACTAGCCAAAGTACCTAAGGAATTATAGGTGACTTGCTGATGACCCATCCTCCAGTCATTCATGCAGCATATTCCATCCTTAGCATAGCTCCCTGGATGGACTGAGGCTGCTGGTTTAGCACAGACTAACTGCAGACCTGTGCATTGTCAGTGATCCTTCTCTCTGTGGTCCTTTATCTTCTAAGAACTGGCATCAGTTTTCTAGAGAAGCTCTTTCCAATAGCATTTTCTGCCATAGTACAAATGCTCTATCTGCTTCCTGATACTAATCACATAAGACTGTGGAGCACTTAAACTGTATTTAGTGTGACTGAGAAACAGAGTTTTAAATTTAATTCCATTTTAATTAATTTAAATTTAATAGCCATTTATGACTAGTGGCTACTGTTTTGGACAGTAGAGGTCTGGGATAAGATAGGCTTCTCTTCTTCACTGTTGGAGAAACAGGGGCAGATGATCAAGAGCAAGGTATCAACTATTTTGCATTTTACAATTATGTAAAATACAAGAAAGCAAAATAGAAATATAAATTCTTGTAATCTCAATGCCCCAATAAAACAATCACTCAGGTTTTTAAGGATACTGGATTTCCTTATATCATTTTTATTCTATGAATCACCTTTAATATCTAATTGCCTTTGTACAACTCTGTATATGAAAATTTTCTTTAATATTATGGGATTATTACATTTTATTTGCAAATGTAATTTTAATAAAGAGCATATTAGTCCATCAAGTGAATAGAATACACCATAGATTCTTATTGTTTCCCCCTTCAACTCTGGAGATTGAACCCAGGGCTGCACACTTGCTAGGCAAGTACTTTTCCACTTATGTACAACCCCAGCTCATTTAAAAATTTTTTTACTTTGAGACAAGGTTTGTGTTATAGTTGGGATCTTTCACATCCCTGGAAAACTCATGTATAAGGCATGTAGGAATGTTCAGAGGTGAAAAGATTGGTTACGAAAGCTGTAACCTTATCAGTAAATTGATTCATTTGGTGGACTAAGAATTTAAATGAATCATTAGGTGGTAACTATAGGCAGTGGCTAGAGGAAGTAGGTCACTGGGGGTGGGCCTTTGGAAACTACTGTCTCAGGCTTCTCCCTCCTTTGCTCTCTCATCCCTTCTCTCCACTTTGCTCTCTCTTTCTCCCCCTTCCCAGCTGCTATGAACTGAGTAGCTCTCCTCTACCACACCCTTCCACCATAAATATCTGCCTTGCCTTGGGCCAAGAGCAATGGAGTCAGCTGACCATAAACTGAACCTCTGAAACCAGGAAGCCAAAATGAACTTTTCTTCCTCTATCTTGTTTTTGTTAGGTACTTTGGTCACAGTAGTGAAAGCTGATTAACACAGTCTTGATGAGTTGCCAAGGATGGCCTCAAACTTGTGATCCTCCTGCTTTAGCCTCCTGAGTAGCTGGGATTACAGGATTACTTGATTACAGCCACTGTACAGGCCACAGAGCCATAGACTCCTTGTGGTTGGGTATCTAGGATGTTTTCATTGTTGCTGTTATACAAATGACTGCCATCCACATCTCTGTGACTGAAACTTCTTCCAAATGTTGAACAGGTCTTTGAAAATCTCTGGTAGGGTCAGAGAAATAGAATTTAGTGGTCAAGGATATAAATGTTTTAAGGCTAATGAAGATGTATGGCCATATTTCCCAAAATTTCATTACATAAAAAATACTCACTTTGTCACACCCACACTTATACTGGGCATCCAGCACACCCATAATTCTCTTTAATTTATGTCTTAGCATTTTATTTCATGATAAAATTGGCCCAAGTTATACCTATTTTTGATAAATTAAAGAGTTACAAGTTTTATAAGAGAATTTGTCCTTGGCAGATTTTTTCCCTGATATATTACTTTTTCTTTCACAGTTTTATTTTTTATGTTTTTATGGGAGAAAAGGAAACAAGAAAGTTGATGTACTGTTTTGTGCAGTTAAGCAAAGAGAAAGCTTCCATGCTATTTTCACGGTGATTCAAAAACACATGTGAAATTAAGTGGCCAAATGAGAGATTTTTCTATATTTTGCCTACTTTTTGCAGTAACTCTTTGTTCTATTTGCCTTTATCTCTTACATTTCTTATAATTTTTACTTGAAAGTGAAGGTTGAATCTAAAAGTGCCTTTTTCAATATTTATCACCTTGTGGCTGCTGTGAAAATAATAATAAAGAATTCAGAGTATAGCTTGTATTAAATATCTCCTGTTGTGCATTGTTAAAAAAAAATTATGTTAGACACAGTGGTCAGAAAATGATCTACTGAAGATTGCTGTAAATAAACAAGCCTGTAGATGAAAAGTTGAATTTATGAGACCAATAAGAAGTGATTATTCACTCTATAAAAGTGTTTATAGTGGGGTTATTACCTTAATAGTGAGCTTCACTAGTGAATTTATGTTTTCGTTTTTTAAAAATTGATTTACAAGCCTTTATGATCTTATCTTTTGCACTAAGTGAATTTATTGGAATAAGCATTTTACTGAAATACTTTAGGACTAAAAGAGATATGGTACCTCTAAAAGATAAGCTACTTACTGTTCTCTCATCAATTTATCAAGGCTGCTCTGAAGAGTTAAAATTGCAATGAGGATTAAATTTTTGCATTTCCAGCTTTCTTGGATTCGTATGTCAGTAATCTTGTTACAACAACATACATTCATATATATGTATGTATGTTTATTACTATTAGAGGAATAAAATTAAAAAGCTAGTTTAATGTATTTAATAATTTTGGGAAGGCAAAAAAATAACCATTTTAATGTTAAAGGTAATTAGATCAGAAACAAAAATGATACAACCTAGATGGTAGTGATATTTCATGCCAACATTGAAAAGGAAATATTATCAAGGAATGAACAAGGAAATTACCATAAGGGGAAGATTTTAAATGTGGATTATCAGGATGTGGAGCTTAATCCTTTAACTCATGGCTCTGGCCTTAGCGGCACGTTCTTCCTCAGAACCATTATTTTTATTTATTTTATTTTTTTATACTAACATTTTTAATTTTTAAAATAAGTAAGTATATAGTAAAAAAGTATAAAGTTTTATGAATGTAAGACATGGATTCTATTAAGTTATCACTACAATCCAGACACAATGTAGTAACATCACCCTAAAAGACTCCCCTGCTATTCCTATATAGTCACACTTTCTACTGTCCCCTAGCACCTACAACCACTATGTTCTCTGCCATCACAGTTTGTCTTTTATGAAATGCCATATAAATGGAATCCAACAGGATGCAAGTTTTTGAAACTAGATTAGTTCTCTTAGCACAAAGTCTCTGAAATTCATTTAAGTTGTTGCACATATCAATGGTTCCTTCTTTTGTATTGTTGAGTAGCATTATTTTGTTGATATTTACCATGAGAATCATCATTTTTAAAGCTTCATGGATCAGGGGAAAAATAAGGAGTGTAACCAGGGAGCATCACTCACACTTCAGTTTTTACTTTCTTGGTGTTGACACTGGAACAAAGCATTTACTGTTTTGAGAAAAAGTGATAGAATCAAATAAATATTGGGCAACATTTCTTAAAACTGTTTTCCAGAATAGTTGAGGCATCAATGCCTGTAACTTCATTAAGAGGCATGGTTATTTACCTCTGTCAGGCAAGACAGGCTTTTGAAAAACGTTCTGTTTAAAAGTCATAGATATAAACATAGAATGTAAAACTATAAATCTTCTAGATGAGAACATACACGATCTTGCTTACCTTGAAGTAGGCAAACATTTCTTAGATACACCACCAAAAGCCACCTTAACCATAAAAGAAAAAAATAAATAATGAACTATACTTTTCCAACATTAAGAACTTCTGATCTTCAAAACACGTTGTTAGGAGACAGGCAAGACTGCAAGGAACATACTTGCAAATCAAATCTAATAAAAGGAGTTATATGTAGAATATGTAAAAAATCTCTCAGAACTCAACGAATAATTAAAAAGAACAATAAAGCACAGATAATAATGTAAGCAACTGCTTCCCAAATGTGCCATATAGATGGCAAATATACACACGGAAAGATGCTCAATGTGAATCTTTAGGGAAGGCAGATGAGAGCCACAAGGGAATGCTTCTGTGCCCTATGAGAATGTCTAAAATGGAAAACTCTGTTCAGGTCAAGTCTTGAAGAGGATGGAGAGCAACTGGAAATTTCGTAAGTCACAGATGGGAATGGAAAATTATAATAGCCCTTTGGGAAAAATAATCTGGCAATTCTTAAGGCACAAACATATAGCTGCCATGTGACCTAGCCATTCTAGACACTTACCCAAGAACGCATTGCCCACACAAAGACTCATGTACAAATGTCCACAGCAGCTTTATTTGTAACATGCAGAAGCTGAAAATACATTGAATACCTATCAGCCAATGAATGACTAAAAAAATAGAAGTGCATCCATACAATAGAATGCCATTCAACAATAAAAAGCAGTAAACTGTTGCTGCATGCAACGCATGAGTGATTTCCAGATTCATGACATGGAAGAAAAGAAACCAGACAAAATGTATGAACTGTGTTACTGTGCTTGTATGAATTCCAGAAAATGCAAACTAATCTGTAGTTTTCATGGGCAGGTAGAAGGTAGGAGGACCTCTAGGAGAGGCCAGAGGAAAGGATTTCCAAGGCAGGAGGGAACCTCTGTGGTGATATCTAAGGATTCATTAACTAGATGCTAGTAACGCTTTCATGGGTGTCTACATTTATCCCAACAGGACAAACTGTACATGTTAAATATGGGCAGCTTATTATATGTCAGTTTTGCCTCGATATTTTTTTTTTAAATACAGTCCTTTTAATCTGTTTACCTAGGTTAGCACTTTTTCAAACATAGTTTGCTGTCTAGTCAGCAAAAACCCTTGAATTGATGAAGGTACAAATGTGAGTCTGCTGGACAATTGCATTTCACACTGGCAATTGACAGACTGGCTCTGGCATCAGTCAGTCACCCAAGGATAAGTAAGTTCACCTCTGACAGAGTTCCAGACGAGTATGATTGAGAGAACAAAATCTGAAATTCAGAAACAAACAGCAGTTGGCAAATATTTTCTCTTTTCTCCCAGTTATACAAAGATATCAAGAGTCCTCCAAATCTACCATTTCAAAAATGCTATCTTTGATGACAGTTTCAGGTGCAAAGTGTGTTTTTTTTCTTCACAGTGCTTTTCACAGAATGAGCACTGGTAGACACCAAGGCTGGGAGGCCCTGTGAACCAGTTCCAGCAGGTGAAGCTTTGTGCTGGTGGTGATGTAGTTTCATTCCAAAGGTGTAAAGCGAAGTCTCCATCTCTAGCTGGCTGCTTGTGTCCTTGGACTGCCCTTCCCTTAGATGTTTCCACCTCTCATCTGTGTGTTACCTTCCTTGATGTTCCTTTACCTGGCTGCTGCTCATTCTGCTTGATCTCTTCGGCCTTGTGAGCAGATCATGGGGTTGTGAGGCTTTTGAAGATAGGGCTGGGGCTTTGGTTAACCACGTTGTTAACGTAAGTCTGAATAAGTGCTGAATCTATGAAGTGCGTACAGCCTGGAAGAACTGGGTGGTGTCTTCTGCATGTAGTCAATCACGATGATAACTGCAATGGTGTTTGCCATACATTGCACTCTGGATTCTGAGCACAATGCAGTTAGTGTTATGTGTGGACTGGCTGGCGTTGATCTCAGAACACTGTGGTGATGCTATCCCCAAGTACTTCATTCTTCAGGTGAGGAAAATGAGGCCCGGAGTGAAGCACCTATGTACCTAGAGTACCTAGAGTACATAGGTGCTAACTACTGGGAAGTCAGGTTTATCCAGTATTTTTCCTAGCCCTTTCTACTGCATTTGGTGATTCATAGCTAATTTTTCACAATATGTTTGCAGATGTATTAGGTGCTATTGAGAGACAAATAACATATCTTTGACTCACCATCTAGTTACCAGTAACTTTGGCCTTGCTTGAAGCTCATAATATATACATTTCCTTTCTCTTCCTCTGTGGACCATGAGAACACTCCTCCAAATAACAGGATTGCTATTTCTCATCTGCCCATCCACTCGGCCTGGATTATTAGCACTTCTTTTGGGAATTTCAGAGTCTACATTTTTGACCTGCCACAATCCTAGCCAGACATTTCTGCTGCTGCGTTCTGATTTATCATGCCATTTCTCTGAACTGACAACTCAGAAATCTTAAACTTGGCAAGCTCACTCTCTGACAATATAGCTTTATTTTTTTCACCTCCACTGTTTCCTTTTTCCTAGTAAGTCAGATATGAAAACACCAAGACATCTGTTTTTAAGCACTGTGCCTATTACCATTGTAGTTAAATAATCCTCCCTGGCATTTCACTTGCTAAAGGCAGATGTGGCCAGTGGTTTCATCTTTGATCCTTCCACCATTAAACATTCCTAAGAATCCTCAGCTTTGTTTTGACCAGAATGCCTTTTTGTGTTTCTGTCACTGAAGCCTTTCTCTGTATGTATGATAAGAAGCCAGATGGCTTCTATCGTCCCCAATCCACCTCCAGAGAAATACCTTCCTCCTTAGGTTGTGTCTGAAGTTATCTCTTTCTTCGTGGATTTGAAATTGCAAAATTTCAGATTTACCATAATTATATACTTGTGTCTATTTCTGAACTTTCTAACCCAGTAATTTTTCTGTGTATGGGGCAGTTTTACATTATGGTGCTTTTATGATGCAGTTAAACATCTGCTAGGTCAGCTCTCCCTTCATTGTTACTTTTGAAGATGGTTATTCTCTGATCTATTTCAGATGACTTCAGAAAAATTTTATTAGACTTCCCCAAATTATATGACAGGGTTTATTAGAATTCCATTGAATCTACAGATTAATTAGAATTGATGATTTTCAACAAATTTTTGTTCCCATCAGACATACAGTATCTTTAAATGTACTAGTTTGTTTTTGTCTGTCCTTTCACTAGTTCTCTTCAGATAGGCCTGCATAGAGATCACTACAGGTGTTTTTATTTTATTGCTCATGTAAGTGGCATTGCTTTGGTTTCCTTTGACCTTCAAAGCTCTCTCCTTGTGATATCACCCAGCCCTGTGAACTCAGCGTCACCTCTGTGCAGATTACTTCCTGAGCCACATGATGAGTTGCCACACCCTATTCTCCCTTTCTGTTGAACACCATCACCCCTTGTTTGCCAGAGCTGCCCCAAATTCATTGTACCTACAGGTGAACCATCTTTCTCTGCCACTCCAAACCACCCCCCCCTTCTTAAGTTTTTCACTATCCTAGCTATGAGGCCAAAACCCGGGACATCATCTTGGGCAGACTGGTCTGCTCCTTACACAATATTTGTTGTATGTCTTTCCTTCTTTCCAGCCTCACTGTCAGTATTATCTGTTACCTGGATTACTAGCATTTCAGCCTCTAGTCTCTTGCTAGTCTCTGAACCCCGTCTGTCTGTGATGATAATTCTAGTGCCTAAAATATTGATGGCATTGTCACTTCAGCCTGCCTCTGCTTTGCTCACCTGATAAGGTCCAGAAGCATCAATTGCTCCTGTTTTGGCCCTAATAGAATGTTATGTTCTTGTGTGCTCCCACACCTCAGCTTCCTCGAGCTCCAGCCTGAGGGTCACTCTCCAATACCGTGTCCCTAGCTGGATGCACTCTGCTCTTTCATATCCCTGTTCCCGTGTCACTTGTATTGTGATTCCTTTTTGTCCTGCATCTCCGCCCCTCAACAATTCACCATTTCCTCCTCTTCAAGGAACACTGTACACCTCTCGTATGGGATGTGTCACTCGAGTCACTGTTTTACGTTGGTACTTGAGTGTCTTTCATTTTCATGTGAGGCTTCAGTTAACTGAGTTTAAAGCTATGAAATAAATATAGCCTGGAAGAATTGAGCAGTATCTTTGCAGACAGTTAAAACTATAAAGATAAATATAACAACAGTATTTCCTACAATGAGCTCTAATGTGTCCTGACACCATGTGATTAGCACTGTGTGGATTTGTGCCAGTCTCCAAGCCCTGAGAGGAATGCTGCCATGAGAATTCTGTTCTTTGGGTAAGGAAAACGAGACCCAGAACGCCACTGATTTCTCCAGAGTCCCCAGTGCTAACAACAGAAGTCAAGTTCGAACCCTGCTGGCTGGGTAGGAGTGTCAGCTTCAACCACTGTCTGACTTCCTGGCAGTTCTGCAGTTGCGCCATAACCTTGCTGACCAGAAGCTCAAACGCATGATTGAAACTTGATATAAGCATAGGTTCCTGATTCTGTTGTCTTAAGCTTTCTCTGTAAAGTTTGGATGTCTATTTTTTCTTTTCTGAATTTTTTAAAGAAAGAGTGAGGAGTGAGCCAATAATGCTAGTGATGTTCCCAAGATGAAATGCTGGATTTCACACTATCTGCAATCTATTACATCAGGTCCCAATCTTTCTGCCTGACTTTCTGGGGCTTCCAACACCTGGGCCCACTCTACTTCTGTACTTGACTTACAGATACCAGTGCCCCTCCCACGAGGCCTGACAGCCCACCAGGCCCCTCCCGAGTCTCACAGTGTTGCTCTCCTGTCTCCTGTGTCTGCTCTGATGGCTGGCTTCCTCTCTCCATCACCAAAGCCTGTCTTATGGACAGTGCCCCCATGATTTTTCTGACTGATTTACACAATTCTTCAACTATACAGGTTAACATTGGCTTGTTTTCAAAATTCCATAAACAGTATGAATAAATAATATATATCTATGTGTCTATATTTATCTATTTATGGAGATAGATAAGATATGTATTATTTTCCACTAGGGATAAGTATACAACAGATAGTAAATACCCTAGTATGACTGATAAATTTTGTGATTTGAACATTTTAATTACTGCACAAAGGTTTCAAAAGTATTTGATTTTTCTCTTTAAGGAGTAATGTATGACCCTGAGGGATTTTAGTTTTCTGTATATTCTCAGCACAATGACTTCAACTCTTCTTTAGTATGTCTATAAGTAATTTTTCTTCAACAAGCAGTAGAGTAGAAAGAATGTCAGAAGTGGATTTTTGGGCTGTTAATCCCATTAACTTGTTTTCTGGTGTTAGCTATATGGCTTATCTCCTTCAGGTATAAACAGATAGGATTATACTCGAGTATTCCTAAGATTCTCTTGCTCCAAAAGGCCCTTACCAGTGAATTCCAGAGTATGTCTAGCATCTTGTATCAGTTAGGCAACGTTGACACCATCTACTATTTGGGCATAATTAAAATAGAACTTTAACTTTTAAGTCTTATTTGGTTTATAGATTAATATTCTTATGAGTCAGTGTAAAAACTGTCTACATATAGATTGTAGCTGCAAAATATTATGATCCTGTTAGCTGCTTCAGAGATCTGGCAATTTTCTGAAGTTCTGTAGGAAAAAATGTTAACTATGGTACGATCTCATATTTTCCCCCTTAGCTTTCATAATCTTGAAAAATAACTCTTCTCATTTCCCCCCTAACACCCACATTGTTGAAGCTGAAAGCTGTGGTGGAGGTCAGGACTTGGTTCTAATTCAGGGCCCAGCATTCTGTCTGGCTGAGGTACAGGAGCTTGACCCGCTCTGTGTGGCTTTGCTGAAGTATTTGTCCCCTGTGAAAGCCAATATGGTCAGCAGCACCAGCATAGATAAAGAGCTGCGTAAGGTTGTATTTTAGTGGCAAGGCTGTTTTGTGGCCATGTTCTGCAGGCAGACTGGAGGTGACAGTATTATTTACTTTTGTTGCTCGGGGTCCAAAGAGAGAATAAATTGCTATTGATTTTTGAGACATTCCAGTGAAGGGTCTGAATGCCTTCAGAAGAGCTGGGTGGCAGGACAGCCAGTGCTGGCTCGGAGACTGCCTGTTAAAATGAAAATTCATTTTCTTGTTATTGTCATAAAGATTTTTTTCATTCTTAGAGCCAGTTACAAGAAGATGTGGCTGTGGGGGAGTGTTGCTATTATGAATGTTTTCTGTCCCCTGAGAGAGTGGAATTCAGCACCTTTCACAGCGTTTGAAATTGACAAATAGAGTTGTGTGTGTACTTGCATACATGTAATCACCTGGACTTAAAAGTGATGTTTAATTCTGTTAGTATATTATGTGCTCTCCCAGGACACTTCTAGGTTTTTCAAATGTTTGGCCTCACGAAGGAAGGAAGTTTGAATTTTGTCTTATTTTGTTTTAACTTGCGAGTGTGTTTTAAAATGATGCATTTGCTTTCCTTGATGATTTCTTAATTTGCACTCCTCCCCACCCCCATAGCCCCCAGCCAGATTATTTCTTCCTATAATATTGAGGATCCTACTTTGTGTGCCACCTGAAGGGCCATACCAAAGGAATGACTGAAGATTGGCTCACGCATTACCCATGAGTCATTTTTCTTAAATCAATAATGCACTTCTAATTTAATAGTCTAGGATGACTCATAGTTTCAAACATTTGTTTTGGCAAACGAAAATTGTTGTGATCCAGAAATTCACGGTTATGCATAAAAGTACCAACTCAGCGGAAGCTTGTTCTGGCATAGAATGGGAAAGAGGATGAGAATGAGGTGATGGCCCTGAATTAGGAAGTACTATTTAAAAGAACATAGAAACTTAGGCAATGATAAAGAGTTAAATCTGAATTTCTTTTTTTTTCCCTTGTCGATGGAATTCTATCTATTTATTTATTTATTTATTTATATGTGGTGCTGAGAGCAACATTTTATAATGTCTTTATGCCAAAAACAAATTTGGGTTTAAATATTTTCCCATAAATACCTTATACACATAACACTTTAAAAGTCAGGTCAGGGTTTAAAAATAGAAAACTCATATTTAGACTAAGTTGGTAATTATGTTAGAGCACCATAGTACATCAGTAAAATAATATAACGAGATTTCCTGGTGCTGTGAGCTATGTGGTATCTATAACCTGCACATTTAACAATAATCACCCGTGTAATGTTGCTCCATGAACAACGGAGTTCGACTACTAACCATTAGTTAACTTATGCTAGGCAAGTGCTCCACCACTGAGCTACCCCAGCCTCTAAATCTGAATTTCTTAAAGTTTAGATTATCAGTCAGAATTCCAAATGCATAGTCTCCATAAAAGCCTTATATTTTAAAGTAGGGGCATTTTGGACCCAAGAAGACACAACTTTAAATGTTTTTGACTGTGCTGTGTCTATACAATAATTTTATATTTCAATGGATTACCAGTCATCTAGTCAGATATGTACACACTTAAAATATGTTTATTAGAAGTGGGCAGATACCTACACATTTTTGGTTTCACAAGTAGAAATCTCAAGCTTCTAAGTTAAGGACAGGACTGGCATTGTCACCTTTCTCTGTGGCAAGGGTGTTCTAGTAGAGAAAAGCATAGATTTAAGCGTTCAGGGCCTGGGTTTCAAAACCCAGTTCTCCCAGTTCCTCATTGAGCATTTAAGCAAATGTTTAACCTTGGTAGGCCTTGGGATATCAGGTTCTGGGAAGTAGGAAACTACATCTGTCCTAAAATGAAAATGAAGCTGTAATTGCAGGTGAAGATACTTTTCCCCATCAATTAGCCTAAGATTACCCATTTGAAAAATAAGTATTTTTGCAGTAATAAATATTAACATTTATTGGGTATTTATCATGTGCCAGAATCTGTCCCAAATACTTCATGTGTATACCAACCCCTCAGAGGCAGGGGCTGATATCATCCACATCACAGAGATGAAGAAATGGAGGCAAAGGAATGGAAGAATTTGCCTCCTTTTTATCTGTGAAATGAAATAGTAATAACAAGACACTGTGTAACTTAAATTTGGACCACTTTCAGTGATCTTTTTGGCAATCATTTTACCGTTCTTATCATAACTCTCTTACCTTAGCACATACTTACTGGTGTTAAATGCATTTTGAAAGCTTAACTAAAAGATTTTAAACATCATTCAGATCTTACACACACTACATGTGAATTATATTCTCTGTAATTTGCCCATTTCAAACTAAAAAAATCCTGCTGGCTCTGCATTCTGATGATATAGCACAAAAAGGAATCTTATTTTTAATGCTGAACTGAGAAAAACAAAATGCTAAGGTAAATCTTTCACGTACAGAAATAATTTGTGCCAATAAAAAAATTGTTAAATTATCACTGTTGAGGCTTAGCCAGCTCTCTGAATTGCTGTGGATAATTGAGGCTTGACAGTTCTTAGTAATATTATCAGGAGTGTCTTTCAGAAGATAATTTCCTTTATTGTCTTTGATTAATTTGTAAGTAATTGGATGGAGTTTAGCAGTAACCTGGTATGTTCACTCTTATTAATATAGGGTTGAATTCATGATCCTAAGTACTTTGTGAGCTCATTTTAAAAGGCTATCTCCATTTCAACTTTTAAATCAATGTTTGTTTATAGGGAAAATAGGATTAGTGAATTTGGTTGTCCTGAAACTCTGTCCTGTTACATGGGTGATTATTGTTAAGTTCAAATGTGCAGGTTATAGATACCAGGTAGCTCATGGCAATAGGAAACCTCATTATATTATTTTACTGATGTACTATGGTGCTCTAACATAATTACCAACTTAGCCTAAAAATGAGTTTTCTATTTTTAAACCTTGACCTGATTTTTAAATTGGAGTGTGTACAAGGTATTTATGGGAAAATAATTAAACCCAAATTTGTTTTTGACGTAAAGACATTATAGAACGTTGCTCCATGTGAACAACACAGTTCACCTACTGAATTTATGTTCTTATTTCCTGTGCTTTGCTCAGCTTCCGGAACATTTCACTCTTAAGTGCTATGTGGAAATGAGAAATTTGTGTGCTGTGACTTGTTGTGTTTTAGAAGTAATGGCAAGAGCATTTGTGTGTGCACCAATGTCATTTTTTAAAAACGATGTTATAGTTCACATCTGTTACAGCTCCTTTGCAGATTTAATTATTTTCCCCATTTCAGTGGGAAAATCGAGGTTATTTATTCATCGTGTTACTCTTTATGTGCTATTATAATGATTCTTAGACTTTCAAAACTTCCCTCATTCTAATCACAGTAAGAAAAAACCCCTTGACAGAAACAAAGCTGCCCCTTTCCACAGCGAAGTCTCAGGGCTGACCTGGAGTGGCCTGGAGAGGACTGTCTTGTGGGTGCTGGCCGTCATGGCGAGCAGCCGAGCTCGGCCTCATCCTCCCACCCTTTCCTTCAGTCCGGAGCTAGTGCAGACTTTAGGCTGTCATCCTTTCTTTTTATGTGGGGAGACGGAAGCCTTCGTCATTCCTACGTGCCTCTTTACTGCCCTCGTGTTCCCTTTTTCCTGGATGTGCACAATTCTGTCTTCCAGGAAGCTCCAAACCAGTCATAGTACTTTTAAAAACTATGTGAAAGAGCATTTTAAAACAGTTAAAGGTGTTCTTATTTTTGCGGTCATTTCCTGGGGACATGGTTCAAGCCGGCACTGGCTGAACAGAGAAACGGTGGTGGTGTGCCTGCCATTCGGGGGATTTCCAGTGGTCTCTGCCTGGTCCTTGCTGGTGGAGTGCAGCCTCTCCTGTCCGTGCTCATCCTCGCAGGAGGTGGTCAGGCTCCCGCCTTCTCACTTAGAGAAGTACAAAGGTCCCTATGGCATTGGCAGTAGCCTTTTTCTGACACACTTTTCTCTCTTGTGAAAGGGGACAGTAACAGTGCCACCTCACAGGATATCATGAGGACTGCAAGAACCAGTATGTGCAACATTTTGAGCGATTCTGGATGAAAAACTCTTTACTAAGAATTAGCCAACAGGAACATAGGACCACCGGCTGCCAGTTGTACAGCTGAACTGTAGGATGGAGGCACTCTTGGCAACGGCTGGGTGCTGGCTTCCACTCTGCTTCCTGCTCCTCCTAGTGCAAAATGCTTCTCCCCTCTTTTATCCCAAGGCCCCTGGGACCCTCAGTCCCTCCCTGTCAGCCTGTTCATCTGGCTGCCCCTCTCTTCCTCAACCCCAGCCTTTGGAACAGAAAATCTCTGTAACTGTGCATTGAAATCTTTCCTGCCTCACATTCAACTAATTGTTCTCTGTGTCTTTGTTTCTGCTTTAAAAAAAAATGTATGAGGGACTAGAAAATATATCAAATATGTTGAAAGGCATAGATTATTACCTGAGTCAGAGTTCTTCCTATTTACCAACATATTATGTCTGCTGAATATTGATTTCCAGGATATAGGACACTTCATGTGTCAGAGAGAAGAGCCCAGAATAATGTTTATTATTGCTAGGGAAGAAACTACTGTGTTCAGGGTTCTCTATCCTGCCTAGATCACACCCCTGCTGGATCTCCCAAACCAATCCACACTAACTTGAACGCCTGTGGAAACTCTAGTTCTGGCACCTGTTTAATTTCTAATTATTACTTTATCATTCTGCTTCAACCTGATTTTATTCTCTTCAGCTTCTAGCTCTGCTTACACATTGGAACTTTTATAGAAATGGTGTTAGAAACTTGTTCTTTGAGCTCCTGACTCAAGTTGAGAAACTGAAATGCGGTGGGGGCAATTGCTCCCTGACCCCTGGTATTTCTCGGTTGAATGTTCTGTCACAGCACCCAGAATTCTTAGAGTCATAAATATCATCTCTTCAATTTTTGACGTAAAAAACCTTGAGAACTCAATCCAGGAACCCTCATATACAAACTGAATAAAGGAATGGATTAAACTGGCAAGCCCATAGTTTGGCTTGACCATTTTGAAGACCAGTGAGCAGAGCATGGTGATTACCATCATTCATCCCATCCATCTACTTGACAAACTTTTCTGAGTGTTTACAAGGCACTGAATCTGGAGAGGTAATAGTGGTACAAGGACGAAACAGAGAACTTTTCCATCAGAATCCTCCCACTCAAGCAGAATGAAGTACAAAATGAGCACTGTCTCAGAAGCTATGAAGTCAGAGAGAAGTAAACAATTAAGGACTAGTTCCTGTTTCCAAGATGGAAATGGAGAACATGTAGAGGAAATTGCCTGCAGGGCACAGATAGAATACAGAAGTATAGAACAGCATGGAGGAGAGAAGAGCTGTGGCCTCCTGCATGCCTCATGCCTCAAAAGGGCTGATGCAGTCATGGGGCAAAGCCAGCTGACTGATTTAAGTGAGAGGTATGATGCTTAGTTTTATTTCTAAGCACTGGCAGAGCAGAGGAGGGAACATATGCTCTTAAGCTTAAAAACATGAAGGTGATTTCTTTATAATAAAATAATTATACTGTAAATTTAAAAATTTTTTTTGACTTTATTTTGGAGGGAAACAATTTTGTACTGTGTTGTGGGAGAAATTTGTGTTCTTTGAACATCCTAATGGTGTGAACAGGAAAAATGTATGAGATGGTTAAAACAGAAGGATTACCATAAAGTATATTGCATTTTGTGCACGATGAATAAATTTCACAGGATTTTTAATACCATGTTTTATGTTTCATAATGATAAATTAATTGTATATAGACACCTTATTTTTCTTTGCAGATAAAAGTCACACAATCCAAGCAGATGAAATGTATTTTGGTATTCTCGTTTTATCTGGTAAACTTTTTATGGTTTTGCTATTTTGTGAAAGCATATTACTTTTCATTTTCCATGATGAGAATATAATAATGTAATGTTTTATGAAATGTACTTCTGGGAAGTATGTAATACAGCAGAGGGAGTTTGGTTTTATATTTTTCTGATGTAGAACTTCAGAAATAGAATAATTTCTTTTTTGGCACCTAATGGGTTAATGATTCATGGCACAGAAGCCCATTTTTATGTTAAAGTAAAATTACTTTGAAAAATATGCCTTAATTGAAACCCTATTTAATGGTAAAATTGTTATTGATTATGATCAAAATGCCCAAGACAGTGATGAATTCATCAATTTCTGTTTCAGGGGTGTTATAAATCTTTTAGTGGGAGCTGGAGAACGTGAACAAGATGAACATTTTCAAATTATACTGGCACATTACTTATTATGTGTAACTTTCTTAATCTGTATACTGTGTAGGAATGGAAATGGCTTTTAAGAAGCAATGGAGAAAAGTAGCTCACACTATTATATATGCCACAAATCTAGCTGGAATGAAACTTGTTCTAAGAGAAACTTAAAAATGTGAAGCTGGAACTTGACTGAATGATGCATTTGAGTTAAAGGAAGAAAGACAAATTGCATAATTATTAAGTATGACCACAAAGGAATTCTATGTACAATCATAGAAAAGCCGCCCCTTGAACTCACAAAACTAAGGAAAGTATTATGATATTTAACCTTCCCACCATGTTATCAAGGTGAGAAAGACTGTAATGTTTAATTCACAAAAAGTTCTACTTTTAAAGCCCTCAAGCAACTTTCACCCATGAAACTTAAAGAGTTTTCAAAATTGCATACATAGCTTGATTCTTTCCAACCTCTGTGTGTATGTTCATAGAATATACTATTTCCTCTTTTTCCCACAAAAGAAGTGGTAAGACATGTTTTTTTTTTTAAATGTCATAAGACTGTTAAAATACATGTACCTATTTAAAAGTCCTTCCTAAAGATCCTTTCAGTACAGCTTGTCGTGAGTCATACTTGTAACAAGTGGCTTCTATGGTACTGTTGTTGTAAGAGAAGGGGATGTGTAGATGGTTGATGTTCAGATTATAAGGTTTCCATTCATACTCAGGTCATTGATCTTGCCATAGATTGTCTTGCTATGAGCACCACCTAGATGTTCATTTTGCTTTCTTTTGAGTAAGTAGTATCTCCCTGTCATCTGGTTTTTCATAAGCACTTTGTTAAGTGTGTCTTTGTACAAAAAGCCGGAGAGAAGTTAAACTGATAGAACCCTTGCCCACTAAAAACTAATTTCAGATCATGAAACAAGAATGGAATACGTTGTAAAAAATGTGTGTAAATAAATAACCAGGGAACCAAAGCAATACAGAGTGATTTTAAGTGCATGTGGTTAAATTAGCATCATGATCATCAGATTACAATTACAGGGTTTGATTTTGTTATGAATATCAATATGCTGCACCCCTTGTTGTAAATGTCCTCAAAATCTCTGAATTGTTCCTATCATCTGTTATAGTATTATATTTTTATGAATTCTAAAATGACTGCACCCTCTTTTTCCTATGATCCAGGGAGGTATAAAACACAAATATTCTAAGTTTTGAATTGCAGAAACACAGCCTCCGTATGATAATGTTCCCCAATAATTTGGTGTTTGGTTTGGGCCCAGAACCCATTACTACATTCCAACACCAGATTGTACTGAAATGGTAGTAGTAAAGCAGCTTGACAAGTGGCCCCATCTGCCTGTCCTCTGAAGGGTCTCCCACTTGTTTTTGGTATGGGTTTCTTTGAGATGGACTTATTACAGGTGTTTTCTTTCAGCCATTTTTACTGAGTGTAACTTGTTTAACTATCTTGGAGAATGTGGCATAAACAAGGCTTAAAAAAAATGAACCCTTATAGCCTGAGTACCTTTTCCATCTTACTTGTCTAAACTAACTCACAAAGAGCTCTTGGACACAGTTATACTGTCACCACCATGGTCAATAAGAAGGATGATGTTACTTATTGTAAATTAATGTTGGGCACATTTACTGAGCCAGAGGACCTCCATACCCCCTCCTCCCAACCAATGTGCACACATAGCATTTCCAATTTCCAATGGCTCTGCTGTTTTGCTCCATATTTGGGTGACTGAGGCAGAGTCCTCTGATGACTAACTTGTCATTTATTGGACCTGACTTTAGCAAATTTTTCCAAATCCTTATTGAAAAATTTTCCCTTAAATTTTTCTTTCCTGGGCTGGGAGCATAGCACATGCAAAGGCCCGGGTTTTAATCCCAGCACCTTAAAAAGAAGTAAAACAGTCCCTGTTCATACGGAACTTCTGATTTCAGGCCCAGTGTTGGGAAATGAGGTAATCATAAATATGACTAGTCCTGTTTGGAGTAAGGGCTGTCTGATATATTTATATCAAGGACTGAACTCTGTTATCTGACTGGAATAGTCTTTATATTTAATATATGAAAGAAAACTATTAGGCTTTGGGATTTTAGTGAAAAAAAATCACATTTTTAAGTTTTACCTTCATGCTGTGTTTATTGCTTAGTATTGATATTAAGCAAAATTACCACATTTATCTCCCTGTCTTGGCAAAATATATGATTTTGGTTACTGAAGGAAAAAAATTCAAGCAAAATCATATGCATATGTTTCAATATACATTGGCATAAATATATTTGGTTTCCTGTTGTTATGCTCCTTATTGTTATTGTTGTCCGCTCCAGAGAAATTTGAGATGTGAACAACTCTGACAAAAATGTTACTACAGTCTTATGTTAATATGATATCATTTCAAGAGTTAAATTTTTTGAAAAGCAATTCAAAGTTCATGATCCCATAACAAGCATAATCCATGCTGAGTGCAAACACTGTATGTCCCCATGTGCATTTCATTACACTTCCACTGTAAGCACCACATGTACCTCAAGCAGCCTGAGTTAGACTTGCTGTGAGAATCATAACTTTGACCTTCTCCATCAGTATTGTAAATTCTCAATCCATACATTGTAGTAATATTGTCATTGGATTTATTATTCGATCCTAATAGTTCAATAGATAACTAGAACAATTTTTAAAGAAAAATAGATAAAAATAAAATTTCCTTGGAATAGCCACACTAGAAGAGGGTGAGTGAGTAGACATCTTAATGCAGGCCTGCACAGGGAAGCCTTCATAGAGCTCTCTGCGCCTCCTTCCTGATCCCTCTCACGTCTTACCAGGTGGCCTGGGGACACTTGTGGGAACATCTTCAGAACCAGGAACATCACCCCAAGTCTCCATCATCATGTGGTCCAGACCCCTCACACCACATCTAGACACAAGTCCAATTCTGCTGCTTACTGCTGTTTGGACGCAACTCTCCACCTCGACTCTAGCGTTCTATTCGGTGCTTTCCTTGCCTGCTCAGCCCTGACTTCACCAAAGGCTGATCCCTCTGCTGCTTTGATGATAGTGGCTCCACAAAATAGCTCTATATTTTTAACAGTGATCAGTTCAAGTAAAAAATTAAGTGAATGAATGTGCCGCAAATATATATATCTTTTGTATTAAAATAGTTAAGAACTCCTAGCATATTTATAAAACCATATTTAAATTCCCCATTGAACTCAATTGTAAATGGGAAAAAATAAAAGCTTTATATTTTCTAATGTTGTGGAGTGTATAGAAATATCCTTTAATGCATTAGTTTTTGTTGTGCACAAATCTAGAAAACAGTATATTAAGAGAAAACAGTATTGTCAAATCCTTAGATACCATTGGTGGCTTCAACATTTAGTTTTTGTGATATAGAAGCAGCCTATAAAAGTTTGATTTTTACTCTGTCAACTTAAATGCAAACAATAGAACAGAAAATGGGCTGCCATTTAAAGTGAGAAAGAAGAGGAAATATTCCAGACCCAGAGTTTGGACGTGGTCATTCCTCCCTGGCCATGTGTTTGGTCTCCTTAGTTCCTGGTCCAGTAGCCTCCACACCCATACAGTAGTCTTTTCCAGGAGACTGGCACCTTGGGTGGCTCTCCCCCATTACCCTCCCCGATTCTTCTAGAAAACTGTCATGTCAGAATCAGAAAGAGCATAAATGTGTTCAAGGGTTATTGAATCCTTTTCAGTTTGCAAATTCCTTTTTTAATAGGAAGAAAGCAGTGGTGTAATAAATTCTCAAATGATCAAATCAGTTATTTTGTATAAAACACATTTATCTTTAATTAAGCATGTAAACAAGGAGTCGTTGATGGCAAATGCTGGCATTGCTGGAAACTTTTCCTGCCTCACAGGCTGAAAGTGTGCACTGTAGTCCAGACAGGGGTTAACTGTGTAAGCTGAATAATGTATTGGATGGAAGTAGCAATGAAACAATATTCTTTGTACTCCTTGCACTCTGGCCAAGAGAGTTTCTTCCTTAGTCCAGGAAGACACCACCCAGACCCCAGGGCCACCAGAGGCACCCCAGGGGTGAGGACCCCAATGGGGCTGGGGGTTCTAGTTCAGTGCAACCTTACAGATGTAGGTGCTGATCCAAACTTTTGACCTAGACAAGCATTGACTATACTGCCAAATTAAAATACCAGGGTAAAAATAGTATGTGTGTCATTAACTTTATAAGAAATATGTTTGTACAGAAAAGCCTCTAAAGGATACACACCAGAATGTTGAGTAGCTGCCACTACCTGACATCTCAGGCCTCTATTTTCTTTTACAACAAGAGACTTATACTACTTGTATCAAAGTTTTAGAATGGACACCTTGTGTTTAGAGGTGTAAGATCATTTCAAAGTCTTGTATTTTCCTAGTTCAAGTCTGTCAACAAAGTTACTAATAATGATTGTACTTCACTTGACTTGTAAATTAGTGGTTTTGAACTTGATAGTCTCAGAATATTTTCAGCATACAGTGCTCTTATGTGTGATCTGTACAAGGAGTAGGCACTTGAATGGGATACAAAGGAAACACTTTCCAAATTTATTAATCAGAGTGACCTTTGCAATATATGTTTTCTGATTTGCAGAAGACCCTATGCCTTATTGATGAGGGTGAACATATGCAAAATGGTCATGGATCAGACATCTCAGATGGAAAATAGGTGTGAAATTCCAAAAAGTTCAAGAATTTAAATATAATGTCATTCAGAAAGACAGTTGTGAATCAGTGAAAGCTTTCAGAATTAGTACTAATGAAGTAGCAATTGATAGCAGCTGAACATTAGATGCATTTTAAGGAACTGGGTTCTTTCATTGTTATTTTTATAACTATATAAAAACTTATCCATACCCTTACTTACATAGCAATAGTTATTTATGTAAATATTGCATGCAATTGTGGATTCAAGTGCTCAATTATCCTAAAGGAGAAGACTAGATTATTCTTGCAAAAGAAACTTGTGTTCTATAGAATTTTGATATATACAATTCCAAAACTCTTGTATGGCATGGTACTGTTTCACTAGATGAAATAGTATATACACATTGCCTTGAAAACTTCTAAGAGAATTTTATGTTGCTTAGCTTCCTGTATTTTAAAAAATAATAATTATTGAAATTATCAAGTGAATATAATGAAACATTTATTGATTAAAAGTTGGTATAATTCACATAACTCTAAGGAACTTTGTTAATATAGATTTAGGGATTTTGACTATACACATTATTAAGTGAAGCTAAATTCGTTTGCAAATTTATAGTGTTAAATGATCAGAATACCGTGTACCCCAAACATCTCTTAAATTAGGAACTAAATATTCCTAATCATTGTTCTGCAAAGGATGTGAGAACCTACTACGCACCGTTGCATAGAGTTGTTCATTTCTTCATTTGTTTTTCATCCAAGTTTTCATCTGCCCTTGGTAGGCACTGCTCTGTGTACTGTGGATATGATGTGGACAAGCACGTCCCCAGCAGCCCCTGTCCTCCAGCAGCAGGAACACTGAACCCATGATGCCACAAGGATCTGTAAAGAAGGGTGTGGTGGGAAGGAGTCCCCCTGGAGGAGCCTATAACTGGGCTCAGAAAGTAGGTGATTTGCAAAGCAGAGAGAAGAGGGAACAGCTTGCTGAGGCTGTGTGCTAGGAGGGTACCTGGAGGATGAGTGCTGGGACTGGAGAGCCAAGCGGGAGGAGAGAGTACACCTGAGTATGGGTGAGGTCCCGTGTTAGAGATGAGGACTGCAGGTTGTTACAGGGGTGGGCCGGGTTGGTGGTAGCCTTTAGTCAGATGTGTTCTTCAAAACCAATACTCTGGATGCAGTGAGAAGCAAGGGTTAGAGGGGACAGGAAAGAATGATAGAAGGCTCTTGCAGATTTGAATTCATGTTCTGGTGGTAAAGATAGAGCTAATGGATAGTTTTGATGTTTAGAAGGGCGATTCAGTCATCTGGCAGGGCACTTCCATCAATCATGTGACAGAGAGGTCCAAGAATAACACTTTTCTTTGTTTTTTAATGGTATAAAGATTCAGATTCAACCCAGGGCTCCTGCAAGCTAAGCACTCTATAAGTGAGCTGCATCCTCAGCCCTTTTTCAATTTTATTTTGATACAGGTTCTTGCAAAGTTGCCCACACTGGTCTTGAACTTTTGATCCTCCCGCCTCAGCCTCTAGAGTAGCTGGGATCATAGGTGTGCACCACCACGCCCAGCCACACCCATATTTTAGCTTAAGTAATTGCATGTGTGATGAGGCCATTTACTGAAATCAGGATTTCTGGGGGAAGACCTGGTTCCAGGTCATAAAATGGCAGGTAACTTCCATCTTGCCTGCCAACTCCATTCAACTGGGAGTGGCTGCCAAGGGCTGCAGATTGAGAAGGAGTTTGAAATTCACAATGGAATATTTCATGATCACCTATTTAATTTAAAAGTATTGAGTGCTTTTGTGTTTCTCTATTTATTGAATTAGTTTTTGCTCTTAAATGAACTCACACATACATAGCTGAAAAGTTGCCACCAAAGTGATGGTTTATTTAACAGAAGTTGATAGTGAACACTATCTATGTGCTGGGTACTCTTCTGTGTACCATTGACTCTGTGCCATTTAACCCTGCAGTGCAGCTCAGAATTTAGAAAAAATAGCTTGCCATTGGGCCCTATACTGTCCAAGAAGAATTTGTACAGTGTGGGCCTGACTGGCTTTTTTATAGAGGGATTTTCAAACATAAGGTGAATTTCTGATGCATAAGGACCCTGAGGAGAACATTGTGTCATGCCACTAATATTCTCAATTACTATTAATGAATAATTAAAAGTCAGTTTACATTTCACTCAGCTTAGTTATCTCTCATTTGTGGGTGTATGTGCATTTGTAATTATTGGTTTGCAGCTCATGTTCTGTGTAAATGGATTGTAGCAGAGGCTTGGAGGAGGAAATGCCATATGGGATTACAGTTAATGATGACCCAAGTCTGCCTCGAATTTTCTGCATATCTATCTCACAGCACCAAAGACTTCTAAGTAATTGAATATTTCCTTTCTATGATTGAATTCCAAAGGGCCTTTTTTTGTAATTTCGTTTTTTCTATTATAACCATAAAATTAAAATAATTCTCACAGTGCTGCAACTCACTGCAGTTTCTTTTGAAGCAAACTACACATGAACAATTGTAAGAGCTAAGAAGAAAAATATTTTTATTTACTTGCTAATTAGTATTAATTTCTATGTACTCTCTTGCTATACACTTGTAGATCAAGGAGATATGGCTATTTACGTAAGATCCCACAGTTATGGTATGCTGCTAGGTGAAGTTTCTGGAGACAAAATGCTCTGCTCTTCACTTTTGAAAATGCTGGAATGCACCATTAAGCAAGATTGCCAGGGATTCTTAAGTATTTGTGGGTTAGTCCAACAGTGATGCCAAAATCATTAATATATTATAGTAATAAATTATCTTTTTATTATTCTTGAAACATTGCCCACAGGATTAAACAACAACTTTCAGACTTACTCCATGAAATTATTTAAATTCATATCAGTGTGACAATACATAAAGTTTTGGTTAGAAAAATCATATTAGCGTTTAATGTAAAGGAGTGGAATATTCTTTTTATATGGAAAGATTGTGCATTTGTTTTTTAAACATTGAAAGTTGGTTTTCTCCTGAATGAATCATAAGCTTTGAAAATAAAATTTGAGGGTTAAATATCAATTTAGAAGATGTTACTGAATACTCTTATTTTTCTGAAGAAAGTAAATTAAACCTATTCTTAGATGGTAAAATAAACTACTATTATCTAAAACCAGTTAAATGTGTGGTATAAATCATGGGTTAGCTAAGAGTTTGGCTCCCTGGGCAGGATGACTTGAGTTCAGACCTGCTGCCCCTTCTTGTTAGCCACATGATTTTTTACACAAATAATCTTGATCCCTCAGTTTTCCTTTGTGTGAAATGGGCACGCTAGGAATATATATCTCTTGGGATGATCTGATATTTCTTACTCTGTAACTCAAGACTTGGTATAAATGTAGATCTCCACAGTTTTACAAAAGCTGGTTCCCTGAGAATAGTTAAGTCCGGCTGGGAGTCTGGGTCACACCACTACTTTAAGGAAGTCAGTTCATTTTCTGCATTTCTGTTTTCTTATCTCTAAAATGGGTATAATAAAATCCTTTCCTTCCCCTACCCTGAAGTTATTCTTAGGATCAAATGATATAAATACTATGGAAAGTTTAGATTTTTATCTAGATTTTCATTAAAAAAAAATACCCTCTTCATACTAAGCAACCAGTCCTCTCTGCCTTCAGAAGGAATAAGAAGAGTAGGTGCTTATAGAACACAGAGAGAAAGCAACTTCTGTTTCTCTCTATGCATGCACAAATGGTTATTCATTAAGATTGTTTTATGAGCATTAAGATAAAAAGGGCTGAGGCATAGTAGGCTGTAATTCTTAGCACCCTAAATCCAAGGAAGAATAAATACAACTCTGCAAGTAGTTAGTATATTGTGGCTTTCTATTTCAGAAGGTACTTTCATAAACATTTTCTCTTTTATTCTCAGTAGGACTAAGAGATATATATTGCCATGATTTTTCTGTTTTGGATAGAACTCAGGCACAGAAAAGTTGAATGATCATTTAAGCAATGCAAAATGAATGAAGGAAATAGAGGCCCAAGCCCAGGTCTTCCGTACACAAACTCCATCTGCTAAGGTTCCAGATTATGGAAACTTATTTATTTATTTATTTATTGAAGAGGTGAAACAGACTCCAGAGAAAATTTTTAAGATGTTTTATCATTTGACTCTGGCGCCTCCTATTAAATCACAAGTTGATTTTTTAGAAAATTATGAAAAATTTATAAAATATTTCCACAAAAAAACCCACATAGTCCCATGTACATGTTAATATTTTGACATATTCCTGCTAGTAGATGCTTTAAAGAAAACCTCTACCCATATAATCAAAGCTGCTTTGGGCCTGTAGAGCACTACAGATGTGAACAGTGTGTGTGTGTGGTTCCTGAATCCAAGTCAACTGGAATGCTGGAATGCACCATTAAGCAAGATTGCCAGGGATTCTTAAGTATTTGTGGGTTAGTCCAACATATTGCATATGAATGCAATAATTGCTTTTTAAAATCTTTAAAACACTTAGTTGAAATTCTCTAAAGCAAAAATCCCAAAGACTTCATTTAAAATGGTTTATCACAGCTGGTAATAAAATATCTTTAAATCATTGATTGACAATACTTTGTTTTTGTTTTTTAATTACTGCATACAGACTGAAGGAAAAGATGCTAGAAGCAATTCAGTTCTGATACATGACGGGTCTCTGAAGTGTCTGTTTTACTGTCTTTTGTATTTGAAAAAGACGTTGAGAATAATGATGAAAAAGTAAAGTTTTTAAAGTTATTTAGAAATTATTAAATTTCATGACTCTTACTAAAAGATTACTTCTCAGTTATTCTAATAGAAATGTGGCATGGGTAGAAACCAAAAATTTTGAGTAATGTAAAATATGTGTACTATTTACTTTCTTTTCTGTTTTATTTCTTGATTTTTATCCTTTAACTATATTTAGCTATATTTCAGCTATTAAAATTTAAAATGAATTCTGTGGATACTATTATACTTGAAATATAAGGAACTAATTGAACAAATTTAAAGGCATTCAATTCCTGGAGGCATTGGTTATAATACTGACAAATTGAAAGCAATCCTTCATTAGTGGAACACTTATAATGCAGCCCATTAATGAAGTGTCATGCAGCAATTAGGAATGTGTACATATTGACTTGAGAGATGTCCACAATGTATGGGCCAGTTGAAACAAGTGGTGTCCTTGGGACCCAGTTTGGTAAAAACAAAACCTATACCTAACACATGCCCAAATAATGATCAAACAAGAAGGCGTATTGGCATCTTGTGGGCATAAGTCAGGAAGCCTGCTAAGCTTCCTACAGAGCACATGGAACAGTGCCATATCAAAGAAGTATCCAGACCAAAATGTTAATAGTGCCAAGGTAGAGAAGTCCCACTGTGGGGTAATACTGAAGTCTCTGAATATTATAAAAAAAGGCTTGTGACCCATATTGTAGACACAAAATTTTAGAAATAATGATGAAATGGTCAGCTCTCTATAATAAATGTACTAGCTAATGGAAATCATTATAAAATAAGATTATCCTAGAAATATTATTTTTCCTTATTATTGTTTCCTTATGAAAGATTTTATTCAGAATTTTCACATGTCAATATAGACTCTGTCTTAAGTTGCTTGAGTTAGAAAACCCTTTAAATCCATTTATGTCATACAGATTCTTTCCCCACTCTTCCCGCGGTATGCCTGGTTTTGTGGGTGTAAACACCGCGAAGCTTTTTAAAGCAGCCCTTACAGAGCTGTGGGAGGAGCAAGTGCTTGTGGCCAGGGCTTCAGTGTCCAAAGCTGTACTGAGGATCTTCTCGACTGTCTTCCTCAAGCTGTACTTTCTTTCTTAAAACGTGGTAACTGCGGATGCATCTGGTAATATGAGAAGACGAAGACAAGAGTAGAGACCTCTTCTGAAAGATAGATTATTCCTGGTG